ATTCCATAAATTTGGTGTATGCATCTTCGTAACGCAGTCGCGATTTCGTTTGGAGCAACACCAAAGTATTCTCGCTGGCCGCTTCAACTACTGATGGTGGTGTGAGTTGTAAACATCGTCTTCTTTATCGCTCTCCATTTTACGCACCACTTAAAATTCGTTTTAGTAATAATCGCTGCACTGTATGACAGAACTAGCAAAACAAAACAATTAACAATCCATAGCAACCCGCGGTCGTATCCAACCAACACAGTAAAAATTAAAAAAAAATGGCGTAACATATTCTTGAAATATTAGGGATACTAGTGAAAGCTTTTATTGTTCAAGTCGTCTAAAAAATAGTGTTCACGACTCGTGTTGAAAGTGACTATCATGCTCATGCTTATTAGCCAAACTCGGCTTCGCCTCGTTTGTCTAACGGCACTCGCATGATATCAGTCACTTTCGACACTCATTATGAAATATACTATTGTGCAACCAGTTGGGAAAAGCACGATTTTTCGTAACGAGCTGATTTCTGCGGAACGAGCGAAGCGAGTTCCGCAAAAGAAAGCGAGTTACGAATAATAGTGTTTCCCAACGTGTTTCACACAATATTTGTTCTAATTTTGAATATGATCCTTTTTAAATGAAGTTAAACATGTCCATCCAATAATTATTTCTAAATCATCAAGTGAGTGTGTTTGCGTTTGACACTTCGTTACTATGGAAGCAATTTATGTTTAGTGTCAAGTTTCACAATTGCCATTCTCGAAAAAGTGAACTAACTTTTCTTCACGTAGAAAATGTAGCATTTCAGGAGCAGTTCGTTCAAGTGACCATTCCCAACGCAAAGACAAAAGTATTTCGAGAATTTGCTATAACCACTGGTGCTTTTGATGGTATAAATTGCATTGAAATGATAAAGAAGTACGTGCTGCTAAGACCTTCAAATGTAAAGCATGACAGATTTTTCGTGAAATATTCAAATGGGAAATGTGGCATGGCAACCTGTGGGTATGAATACTTTCGGAAATTTGCCGAAAATGATAGCCCAGTTTTTAAAGTTGCCAAATCCCTGTTTGTACACCGGTCATTGCTTTCGGCGGTCATCGACCACTCTCCTTGCTGATTCTGGGGCCGATTTGTTGAGAATAAAGCAACATGGGGGTGGAAGTCGAATACAGTCGCTGAAGGCTATAATGTGGAGAATTCCATAATTAATAAACAGAAGATTGCAACTAACATTCTTGGAGAGACTTCGATAAAAAAGACGCAAATTAATGGTACCCAGAAAACTACGGTGTCAGATGGAGTCAATATTGCCCATTGTTCCAATTGTGTTATTAATATTTATAATTCGTTTTTCGGAATACAAGTAGTTTAGTTTAAATGACACGTTACCGTAAGCATTTGAGACGGAATTTACGTTAAATTTAAGTTTTGTTTACTGTAAGAAAACTGAAATCAAATTTAAAAGTGTCACTTTAAATGTCAAAATTAGAAAATAGTAGATTACATACCGAGCTGGGAGGTGGTTCATTACCTACCCCGAGGTATAAGCGCGAGGCGTTGGTTATGAACCACTGACCAGCGAGGTTTGTATACTATTTTACTCACAATCGATCATTTAAGGTAAAGTATATAATTCAACAAGGTGTTACTTTAACTGTCAATAATAGTGACACCGCCAATGTAACCATTAATGTTTACAACAATAGCAAAATAGCAAATAGTTTCGTTCTTCTTCGTACCTATTCTACTGCTAGATTTGAATGTAGTGCGAAACGTTGGGCACTGTGACATGAAAGTTAGATGGCTTTTCCCCAGAATTGTCAACCATAAGTATACGGTAAGTCAAGATTGCAGCACCGGATCGACGCCCCCCCCCCCATTCCACGTCCATTCTACGTTATTTTCATAGCTTTCTTCCTCTTCTCCTTCATGTCACTCTTGACATCTTTTTAGCGCATTTCCACAAAAATAAAAAAAAATGCGCTATTGTGGCCACTTTGTCCGTCCGTCCGCTAACTTTGCGACGCTACTAGTTTTTTTATCTTAAGAGCTGTGTGAACCATAACTTTGTTTAGAAATATTCGATCGCTTTTACATCTCCGTTATGAACTGAATTGCATGAAATTCAATATGGGCATAGATTTAGCCATAAAATACGCAATGCCAAAAGTTGAATCGAATCGATTCAAAATTCACAGTGCCCTTTTCGCATCTCGACCATTTATAAGCCGAATTGCAAACTTTTTTACTTATAAAAGTATTTGAATGAAATTTGATACATAGGCACTTGGGATAAAGGTAAATCAAACGCCAATTTCAAAATGTGGTTTTGCGCATGCGCAGTGCCAACTTTTTTATTTATGGAAGAATTTAAATGAAATGTGATACATAGGCACTTGGAATAAAGGAAAATCTAGCGCTAGTTTCAATATTTTATTTTGCGAATGCGCAGTGCCAACTTTTTTTTATCTATGGAACTATTTAAGTGAAATTTGATACTTAGGCGCTTGGAACAAAGGAAAATCTAACATTAGTTTTAAAATTTAGGTTTGCGCATTCTTATTTAGAAAACAATTGAAATGAAATTCTTCGCATAAACTGAAATTGAAGTAGCACGTCAACAATGGATTGCCCATGCGCAACGCTATCTTTCATATTTGTGGGCGGATTTTTACGATTTTAACAGAAGTTGCATCTTACAAATGGGAAATGAATGCAAGTGGAAATGCGCTTTATGTAAATCATTTACGATTACTTTTTAACTTGTTCATTCTTTATTTGCGCCATTGAGCTTTGATATATCCACACCTACTTCACGAACTCGTCACATCACCTCCTCCCACACCCTTGGAGACTATACGCCTTTTTCACGAATTTTTTTTGCCTTTTTCCTCTCCAACTTCTCCTTCACATCACTGTTCTTGATGAACCCTTTACACCTGTTCCATTCTTTTTTTTCATCACTCTTCTCATGACCTTTTGACGCATGTGTCTTAAAGAAATTGCCGCTTTTAAGACGAAATTGATTAACTAATGAAGATTTAGCAGCAAAATGATTTAGTAGGAAGAAAGCGCACTTATTTAATGCTTTTGAATTAAGGCGAATATGTTTGCAGATTCTTCGACAAAATTGGTCAGCCAGCGGCCATTTTGTACTACCCAATTAACCAAGTAACTAATGGAGGAAAGAGTACATAATTAAGTTCAATCCTCTTGCAGTCAATTTATCAATATGTTGTACCTTATTGACAAAAAAATGACCAAGACAAGAAGAACATACAATTTAATTTCTGATTGTTAATTATTGTTTGTTTCTTATAAATGTAATAGATGAGGGGGGTCTCATCACGGATGTTGTCTATGGAACCCCTAAATATTTCTCAATGTGGTTTATTTTACAAGTTTAATTGCCTTATTGTATATCATGTTATTATATTGAAGAATAAATATATATTATTATTATTATTATTATTATGCGTTTTGCCGTTTCTTTGAAGAAATTAGTCCATAAATAAAGATTTCGCACCACGACGTTTATCCAAAAGCAATTAAAACAGTAAGAGAGGGAGAGGGTACCTAATTTACTTCATGTGTGCGTTTTGCATTTCCTTCGGCAAAATTGGTCAACAAATAATTTTTTTAAATTTTATTTTAATAAACTCGTAAACCATGCAATATAGGAAAAGGATAAAAACGCAAACTAATGCTTTTGTTTTTTCCTATGTTTAGGATTAGGGCGTTGTACGTGGGTGCACCATTCTGTTGAGACTAATAGTTTTCAACTTTGTTTGTGAACACTACTCTACCACATTAATGTAAAGAGGTTTTAGGGGTGCAATCTTGTAAAAACTCGAAAGAGACACAGTCTCCAATACCCTCAAATGATTTCTAATGCTCTTCCACAAGCTTTAAGAGTTCTCCTTGCGTTAAAAAGCATCCTCTGCGACAAGGCAATGTGACTTGCCGTTTTTTTGACGAAATTGATCTACAAACGTAAATTTTGCACTACCTACCACCTACCATAATGACGCAAATGTCTTCTAATTGAATTTACGGATCTTTAAAAATATTCTAAGAATCAAGAATGGAATCTAAGGTTTAAGCCACTTAAACAAGATTTTGATTTGAGATGAAAGTGTACACAATTTAGTTCCTGTGGAATGAGGCGTTTTGCAGTTTCTCTTGCGAAATTGATCAATTCACAAGTTAGTTCCTCAGTGATGCGGTTTCTTCGACGAAAACGGATCTATAAATGTAGAATTTGTAGTACCATATTGACGCAAGGATCGTGCAAGAATATTCAAGAAACTTTAAAAATCGTATAAACCTTTAATAGTCGCAAACAGTCTCAAAGAGTCGTCCACGTTTAGAGTCCGAAAAATGTTCTCTTTTTAAAGTCTTTGATAGCTTTTAAGAGTCATAAATTGTTTTATGTAGGTGGTATGTCCACGGAGACGGCTCTTCATAGCCTTTTGTGCAGGTTGGAAAAGGGAATGTCTGCCGAGGGGTAGCTCTGGGAGCGTTTCTAGATATCGAAGGTGTATTAACACCACGTTGGATTCCATTAGCGAGGTTTTGGCATTGATGCGTCAATTGTACGATGGATTCGCGCCATGCTCGGAAGCAGAGTCATTATATCCTCAATCAGGACTACGGAAATGAGCTCATCGGTTACTAGAGGATGTGCGCAGGTTGGAGGGTTGTCTCCACTGCTGTGGTGCCTAGTGCTAGACGAGCTCCTCCGCACTTTGAGCGAGGACAGAGTGTATATACACAGGGATACGTGGACGATCTCACGATCGTCACAACCCTTGAACAGGAGGATCGGTGGTGCAGTAGCCATGGGCTCTTCGTTAAAGTTGTTCCATTTACGAATAAAAATAGAGCGGACCTACATGGGCTCACTCTTCGAGAACGTTAATTGGGTCTGACCAGGTCAGTGAAATATTTTAATAATAATTTAAATAATGAATTAAATAATTGCAAATCTCTTGTACTTTCGCAGCATAATCAATCACACACCGTAATACTGAATTCGATAGGTGATCCATGAGAATTTTATCGTCAGACAAAACACACGAATGAAAATCTAGGACCACTGAAAACTTGGACAACTCTACAGGATGAAGCAAATACGCATGTAAAAAATTGGATGATAGAAGAGTTTAAAACAAATATGGCTAGAGGGTACCTTAATAAAGCGTTTTCAACAAAAAATTGCGGGAGAAGCCCTAAATTTTCCATAATCTTAATACAAAGTTCACATAATTTCGTCGAAATGTGAGGCTATGTTACTTGTACTTCATGACTACCTTTTTAAGTTTGTGTCCAACTTCAATTTCTTAAGGGGTTATGTTATTTTTCCATGTTTGGATGCGTTTCTAATTACACCATAATAGCAGTAAGATAGTTCTTTACATGTTTTACATAATTGATGTGTACATTATTTACATATGAGCAACAATCTTCGAGCTAACAAAGTGTACATACTTCTAAGATTTTCTACAACTTGATTGCACTTGATCACCGATTGATATAAACAGACCTTTGTAGTTCACCGGCGGTCGATAACAAAGATGCGGTCTATGGAAGATGCAAAAGGTATCCCTTTCTCTTTCGAGTGATAAAGGCGGTGGTTCTGGTCCATACGGAAAACGCAATCCTTGCCAGATGCAAAATGCAACACTTTATACGACAATCAAGTTTAGACTGTATGCTCTTTCAAAAGTGGTTTTATTATAGTGTATCCAAATTTAACACGGATGTGATGTATAAGTCGAAGTAAACCTAAAATGGTATTGCATACTATTGTTATTAGATTAAATGTTAATAAACCAAACATATTTCAATTTAAAGAGACGAAGAAGTTTAACACTTAACCGCTTAAAAAAATTAACTGTCACTTCTGATCATAACCTGAGATTTCGACGAAATGACGTGAACTTACGAAATTGACCGCTTCTACCACATATTTTGTTGTTGAAAATGCTTAATTAAGCTGTAGAACAACACGAAGATGGATCTATAAAACAAATTAAAAGAAATCTTCCAATTTTGGAAAATTACGTGTGCAAAGAAGGAAATTTGTTACCTTCGATTTTTAGTCACGGTTCAATCATGCTAGACAGACTTCCAACGCTCACGTAATAAAATTATCACACAAAATGAACATCGGGGGCGCCAAAGATTTTAAATTACCTTCCCATTATGTACATCAATTATCTCGCCGTATAATATGTTTAACTACGTGTCGTTAGGCTCGCATAATTCCCTTCAATTACCTACGGTGTTAAAAAAAACCTTTAAAATGGAGCGCGCGCGGTAAATACGAAAAGAAGACAAAAAAATGTACGTTCTAAAAATAGGACAATGAATTACTGTTAAAACGAGCAGGTGAGATGGACTATTGTGGCAGCTGTCGCAAAAACCGATTTCTTCGACCATATTTTTCGTTCTTAAAACCTCGTTTACATATAAACGTAATAATGGGATGCTCCCGATTTTCGACAATGGAAAATTGTACTTACATTTGCTGATGAGGGACGAGATGTCGGGGCGAAGGTGAAATCTGTAATGAGATTCGGAATTAATTGTGTACAGAGCGACGAAATTAGTTGTGTCTATTCGGTAATGATGCAAAGGTGCATTTTTGTGTAACAAACACGTAGATAGGGCAGATGTTCTTGTCTGGAAGCAGGTGAATGTTCCTCTTAATTAATTGTAAGAATATTATAATTTACGGTTATGGTTCAAATTGCGAAAGTTACGTAAGTTCACGTATTCAAGGATAAATGCACAATGCACATCTCGAGACATTATTATCCAATTTGCGGTGTTTTATTCAACGCAGTCTCGTGACATCCTGCTTTTTTTGCGTCACTTCCTATTCGCTGTCCTACCTTTATGACTTGGCATTCCAAAGCGCTTCCTCTTGAAGAGTTTCCCGCAGATATTATAAAAAATGCCAGGAATGCGCGGGAAAATTAGAACAGGAAGTGATTGTAACATTAGACGACTGTCAACACGCGAAGCCAGTTTTTGAAACCACAAATTTTGCCATTGCATTTCTCTGTCGGCTTTTGTAATGTAAATTTGTTTGAGAATTAAATACTCGGAGCAAAGGTCGTTCGCCGATCGTGTGAAATTTATTAACGCTATAAATAACGACCGTAGTAGGTGCATCTTGCAACTGGCAATTATTGGTCAATCCCTTGCAATTGAATCGGAAAAAAGGACGACTCATTACGGGTCGTTAAAAGTTATTCGCCTTTAAACCGAGTGGCGTCGTCGCCCAGAATAGAAACACCGGCGCGGCGCGTCGTTACGTCATACTTACACGTAATCCTTATAAAATCCTCATAGATCACAACACTTTCACGCCGTTCGACACAATTCGAAACTGTTTTTCGTAAATTGCAAGACGCTTTTCATGTGTCGCTCACACTGAATGAAAGCGTGGAGGGAGGTACCCACACCAAACAGGATTAGAGAGGACAGGATGGGAAAATTGCCTAGCGGAAACTTGAAAAAAAGTTTAATTGTGAATGATTTCATAATTACGAAAATTAGCTAATATTGCATATTTTCCGCCAGTCGGTTTATTTTTTTTTTCGCGAAGCCGCGCGTCTAGAATTGCATTCCTCGCCCACGTCCATTCTAAAAACGGCAACAGTTCATACTGCAAAAATGTTTTAAAATACAACGGGAACAATCGATTTGCCTTTTGAAATATACAACTTCCTGTCGAGTGGATTCTTTCAATTATCGCATGCTATTGACTCTACTCATTCATGTGAGGAACGTAGATTTTAATTGATTGTACAATGCGAAACGAAAATAACCGCGCCGGCGATAATTAAAACGCTCCAAGATGGGCCAAAAGGAACGCCTTCTTATTAGTAGAGAGCGCCGAATTAAGGTTAAAAGAATTCATGGTGAAAGTTCATGGAAATGTGGGATGAAGATTTTAAAGGGCTTAACTCGTAAAGGAAATGCTAGTGATTCATCTACGTCTACAGTAGGAGTCAAGCACGGAAATGTATTTTTTGCTCATTTTCTAAAAGCACTTGGTACGTATTCCGGTATTACAAAAACACCCATATTTTCTCTAGATTACGTCTTCATCAAGAAGTTACCGAAAAAAAAAGAGCCCCAAAACCTCTTGATGAAAGTTTTTGCAATCGCCAAAATGATGACTATGACTCTTCAAAGCAATGTTTTTTTGTTACCGGAAAGAAATTAATGATAAATCTTGTCCTGGCACCAAACCAAGATAAACAAGAAAACAAAATTAATACGTGGCAATTAATTAATAACCAAGAATCTCTTTACCTATCCCCAATCTCTTTGAAAAAATGATACGCTCTTTACGTTTTGGTCAAGTTTCGTAAAAGTCCTCCACATTGGGGTGCCCTGAGGTGGCTTTGGAGATCTTTTGGCTGGAAATAAGTTTGCATTTATTAATCCTGGAGAAGAAAATTCATTCACCTAACACCCCACCCACATATTGTTGACCTTGATTTTTTTAAGTGGGCTACCAACCCACCCCATTTCCCACAAATTTAGAACTATCCATGCCCGACCCCGGATTCGAACTTCAACTTCACTGTGCCACAACTGTTGTTTGGCGTATGTTAAATTTTTCACATTTGGTAGAATTATTTATCGAGGTTCACAGCCCTCGGCTTGACAATTCAAAATGGGACACCCTGTATTTTATTCGCTTTTTGGAATCTACCTTAAGTGCAACTTGCTGCCCTTGGTAATATATTCTTCTGTATATACAGGGTCTTCCAACAGTGTGGATCTTTCCTAACTGGTAAAAAATATCAAAAAAACGTTTTGTGCAAATGTCTATAGTCTATAGATGGTTGCGCATCTACAGAAATTATTTTTGAATGTACAGGGTGTCCCATTTTATGTATCAATGCACAGCTGATTTTTTTTAAATGGAACATTCTGTATATTTTTAGCTGATTCGATGTCATTTTTTACCCTCTGCATGGAAACGTAGTCACTATTTGGATGTTTGCTCGGATTGTTGTCAATGTTGACAAAGAAATAGTAAAATGTCCATATTTCCAAGTGCCATAAAATTTTCTTTTCAAATGGAACTACCACTATTTTATTTTTCTATTGGATAGGCTATTCTACTATGTCCTCTTGAATTTTTATAAGGGGTGTACTGTCAACCCCGTAGTTTTAGGTTATTCCATAGTTTTCACAAAAATAGTTACACATTATAATTACATGTTTATAAACAGGAGTAGGCCGTGATAATAAAAAACCAAAGAATGTCAGACAGGAAATATATGCCATAAATTAGTTATTGGCTGCAAGTGTCTTATTTCGTAGTAAAATAAGATTATTTTTATTCATTAATTAATCTTATTTTACTACGAAATAGGGAGTATAATTTAGTTGCTTACTTTCTGGCATTCTTTGGTTTTTAATCATTACGGGTTTATAAAATGTAATTAATTAATGTCGAGATTAATGAGTAGGTAACTATTTTTGTGAAAAATGTTGACTAACCTTAAAACAACGCAGTTTAGGCACAGGACATCCCTTATAAAAATTGTAGAGAACACAAAAGACTATCGAATAGAGAAATAAAATAGTGGTATTTTCATTTGAGAAAAAATAGTTATGGCACCTTGAAGTTTGGAAATTTCACCATTTCCTTGTTAACACCCTGTTATCACTAAATCAAACTTTCTCTTAGCGTTTCCTTTTATTCAGACTAACCAAATGTATTTCCTAACTTTAAAATCAAGGTCGCTACCATTTATCAAAGTGGGGCTTGCTTATGGGGAATTATTCGGAAAAAAATTAATAAGATGGTAATTGGCAACATTGACAAAAAATGACATCGAAACAACGAAAAATATACAGGGTGTTCCATTAAAAAATTGGACACCCTGTAAATTGAAAAATAATTTCTGTAGACTATATAAGATACTCAGTCTTGGTAAAATATGTTTAAAAATTCAGAAATTCTGATCAGTTCCGATGAAAAAAACCGATATTAAGCATATTCGTTTTTGTTTTTTGACCCTGTTTGAAAAGATATCAAAAAACAAATAAGCATTTTGTAAGCTTTAGAAGATGCCCATAGATTTTAACTGCAACGTTTCGTCTTTAAAAACTATCATCGAAACGAATCCAACGATGTGACACAATATGATTCTTTATTTCATTTAAAAAGGAACCACCAATTAAATATTTTGACATTTTTTCAACGCCTACTACACGAAAATGTTAAAAATTGTTTATTACTTAGGTCAAAAAAGGCTTGTAATTAAATTTTTAAGATTTTGGTGTAGTAGGCGACGACTGTATACATAATAAAAATGCTACTCGATACAGTATGTACTTTTTTTCAGGTCCATATAAAAATATGAAGGTGATGATGGTTTCTCAAAGACGAAACGTCGCAGTGAAAACCTGTGGGCACCATCTTGTAGAACTTACAAAGTGCCTATGAGGGAGTCTTTTCAAACAGGGTCAGAAAAAACACAAATATGATTAATTTCGGATTTTTTCGAATATCTTTGGGAATGATCGAAATTTCCGAATTTTTAAAATATCATTTTACTAAACCCTAAAATACGCAACTTTTTTTTGTAATTTAACCGACTGTGTACTGCTGATGGTTTCCGATTTCCCCGTCCTGATCACGCTTATCTTGGACACACTGTATTTACCCGCGTATTATAGGCGTAAAAGAATAACCCTACCGCAGTGAGCAATGCGTGACGCAACAAGTCTCTGGACGCAAGACGCAACTAAACAACGGCCAATCAGCCACATCACCAGCAATTTGAAGATTAGGAGAGTGAAGGGAGTTAGTGATTTGACCAGACTTTACCGATTGACTTCTTTTCCAAGTTAGGACCCTTTTACAGAATTGTATTATATTTTGTAGTACCAAGGGGCGAGTTCGAATGCTACTCTCCAGCTTTGGAACCGTGATGCGAGGGGGACTTGGGTTTTTGCGATATTGGATATTTTCGAGAAGTAGACTACCAGCACTGATCCAGATCCTACCACCGTACATATAGGTGGTGCAGGATACATGGATTTTTATACGATATACAGGGTATTCCTAAACATAACGTACATAAGGATGGGGTCAATTCTTCATAGGTTCGGAAACGCTACGTTACCGATCTAAAGGATGCTATAAAAATTTTCTTTCTCTTGCAGTTCTTGAGATATGTAACTCAAATTTGGAATATAAGTTATGGCTTAACATCATTGGTAGAAACTGAAGGGTAGCACTGTTCGTTTCCTTTAAAAAAAGTAAAATCATGAACCGCTTCGTGCGAATTCAAATCTCATTAGGTTAATGGCCACAGCCAGACGAGTTTGGATAGCGTGAACTACAATAAGAACAGACGCGAGTCGTCAATTTTGCGTTGGTTCCGTTTCTATTACAAAAAAAGAATAGTGAAGGTGGAACTCAAATGCTGACAATGTTTCAATCTATGAACTCATTATTGTTCAATATTTCAGTATATTTATTCGCTATCGAGTTGTTTGAAGTTGAGTTTTCAGGTAAATAAG